AAGGGTATACAGAAGAATCCATGTTGAGACTAGTAGGAAGAGCACAGATATAGAACAGGCTAGTCCCACACCCAGATGTAGTAGTTAAAAACTGGGAGAGATATCTAGGCTACAGAGGGACCCCTGAGGAGCAAGGAGTCCTAGCCCCACACCAGGACCACAGGCCCACAGTTCCTGTGCCAGGAAGAGAAGCCCTTATAACTTTTGGTTGTGAAAACCACTCATGATAGTGACTAAGTAAGGCAGAGAGCTGTTGAAGTGTCATGCGTTCCTCTTAAAGGGCCTGTACACAGACAGACTCAGACTCACTTGCTCTGAGCTCCAGTGCTGGGATAGCAGCTTAAAAAGCACCAGGGACATAAAAGAGGAACTGAATTATCTGGCTTCAGGACCAGGACTGGAGAGGTGGTTTTCTCCCAGACAGAGGTGCCACAGAGGTCACTGTTCCTCTGCCAGCTCTTCCTCACAGCATAGGCAGGCAGGCACCATATCTGAGTCTCCATCAACCTGGATCACACTGTTCTCCCTCCCAGGTGATTCCCTGAGACCCCCACCCCACCCAACTTGTGGTCTCACCCAGGCTGTTTCCAGTCGTTTTCCCATACAAATGGACTGTCTTGGCTCATGTGGCAGGTTATCCTGAAATCTCTCAAAGGTTCACAAGCAGCATCTGGCTTTGGCATGCTCTGTAGCTCTTGCTAAGTAGCCCCAGGCCTGGTACTAGGGGCAGCTGGCCTTGGTTCACAGCTTAGCCTCTCTCAGGTACTTTCAGCCCAGCACGAGAGGCAGCCAACTGCGGGGGGTCACTTTGTAGCTCATGCTGGGTGTCCCCAGGCAGAGCACAGGTGGCAGTTGACCTTGGCTTGCACCTCCTGGGAGGCCCTGCACCTGGTAGGCGGCTTTAGACCATGGTGGAGCACCACACAACCACCCCCACGAGAAACATCCTCGAGACGTAAACTCATCAGGCAACAGAGCCCCACTGAAGTAAGTTCTGCTCTGTGGGGCTGGCCCCTGCATAGCACAGCGTCCGCTGTGGTCACGGCAAGTCCTCACAGCCAATCAGCCTGGGGATAAATGTTTCCCACTGATGTGCCAACAGCAATCAAGGCTCAACTATAACAGGAGGGTGCACACAGCCCACACAGGTGGCGCATCTGGAGTGTTCAGCTTGGCAACTGGGGAGGCTGTGCCACATAAGGGCCACTCTACCAATACCAGGAGATGTAGCAGCTCTACGTAATACACAGAAACAAACACAGGGAGACAGCCAAAATGAGGAGACAAAGAAACATGTCCCACATGAAAGGACAGAATGAAACTCCAGAAAAGGAAATAAACAAAATGGAGAAAAGCAATCTACCAGATATAGAGTTCAAAACACTAATTACAAGGATGTTCAGTGATCTCAGTAAGAACTTCAACAAAGAGATAGAAAACATAAAAATGGAGTTAGAAAATATAAGAAAGAACCAGTTAGAAATGAAGAATACAGTAACTAAAATGAGGAATACATTACAGGGAACCAACAGTAGAGCAGATGAGGCAGAGGATCAAATCAGCAATTTGAAAGATAAAGAAGACACCCAATCAGAATGGCAAAAAAAACCCAAAAAACAAAACAAAACAAAACAAAAAAACAAATCCAAAAATAGTAGGATACTTTAAGGAGCCTCTGAAAGAACTTCAAGCATACCAACATTCATATCATGGAGGTGCTGTGGGGAGAAGAGAGAGAGAGGAAAGAACTGAAAACCTATGTGAAAAATGATGGAAAACTTCCCTAACCTGGAAGAGGAAATACACATGCAAGTTGAGGAAGTGCAGAGAGTCCCAAACAGGATGGACGCAGAGAGGCCCACATGAAGACACGTCATAATTAAAATGCCAAAGGTTAAAGACAAAGAATCTTAAAAGCAGCAAGTTACCATAAGACTGTCAGCTGATTTCCAACAGAAACTTTGCAGGACATAAGAGATTGGCATGAAATATTCAAAGTGATGAAAAGCAAGGACCTACAACCAAAATTATTCTACCCAGCAAGGCTATCATTTAGGATTGAAGGACAGATAAAGAGCTTCTCAGACAAGAAAAAGCCAAAGGACTGGCCAAGATGGAGACATAGGTAGATAGGCTTCACCTCCTTGCACAACCAAAAGAGGAAAACAACCAATTTAAAAACAAAAAACAACTAGAACTTCCAGAAAATCAAACTGTATGGAACTCCAACAACCAAGGAGTTAAACAAGAAACATTCATGCAGACTGGCAGAAGAGGCAGAGATGGGCAGCTGGAGAGGAGAGGACAACTGGCAAGGTGGCAGCGGGAGGACTGGGCGGTCACACATTTGCATGTGGATAAACTGGGAGGAACAACTGTGGAGCGAGACAGACTGTGCAACCCAGGGTTCCAGTGCAGGTAAAATAAAGCCTCAGAACTTCTGTCTGTAAAAATCTGTGGGGGTCGCGGCAGCACGAGAAACTGCCAGTCTCTTGAAAGCAGGGCAATAGCAAGCAAGTGGCATTGTTCCCTCTGTGACCCCTCCCCCTACAGCGCCACAATGCAGCGAAGTGAGTTGCCCAGACCTAGCGAATACCTAAGGCTCTACCCCTTACAATGTGACAGGTATGCCAAGACAAAGAAATATGGCCCAAATGAAAGAACAGATCAAAACACCAGGAAAAAAACCTAAGCAATGAGGAGGAGATAGCCAGTCCATCAGAAGCAGAGTTCAAAACACTAGTAATCAGAATGCTTACAGAAATGATTGAGCACGGAGGCAAAATAAATGAAGACATTAAGGCTATATAAAGTGATATAAATAACAATATACAGGAAACCAAAAATGAAGGGAAGGAAACTGGGACTCAAACCAATGATTTGGAACAAAAAGAAGAAATAAACAACTGGAACAAGAATTCAAAAAAATGAGGAGAGGCTGAGGAACCTCTGAGACAACTTTAAATATTCCTACATCAGAATCATAGGGATGCCAGAAGAAGAGGAAGAGGAAGAAATTGAAAACTTATTTGAAAAAATAATGAAGGAGAACTTCCCCAAGCTGGTGAAGGAAACAGACATAGAAGTCCAGGAAGCTCAGAGAGTCCCAAAGAAGTTGGACCCAAAGAAGAGCACACCAAGGAACATAATAATGAAATTACCCAAGATTAAAGATAAGGAGAGAATCTTAAAAGCAGCAGAAGAGAATTACCTATAAAGGAGTTCCCATAAGACTATCAGCTGATTTCTCAAAAGAAACATTACAGGCAAGAAGGGACTGGAAAGAAGTATTCAAAGTCATGAAAAGCAAGGACCTACATCCAAAATTACTCTATCCAGCAAAGCTGGCACTTAAAATGGAAAAGTGCCTCCCAGATAAGGTCAAGTTAAAGGAGTTCATCATCACCAAGCCCTTATTATATGAAATGTTAAAGGGACTTATCTAAGAAAAAGAAGATCAAAACTGTGAACAGTAAAATGACAACAAACTCCCAACTATCAACAACTGAACCTGAAAAAACAAAAAAAAAACTAAGCAAACAACTGAAACAGGAACAGAATCACAAAAATGGAGATTACATGGAGGGATATCAGTGGGGAGGGGTAGGAGAGAAAATGGGGGAAAGGTACAGGGGATAAGAGACAAAGAAGGCCCCAACAATCTTACTTCTCGGTATTTATCTGAAGAAACCCAAAACACAAAGTCATATGCATCCATATGTTCACTGCAGCATTATCTACAATAGCCAAGACACAGAGGCAACCTAAGTGTCAATCAATAGATAAATGGATAAAGAAGTGGTGCACATATGCAATAGAATATGATTCAGCCATAAAAAAAAGGAAAAGAAATCTTGCCATCAGCAACAACATGGATGGACCTAGAAGGTATTGTGCTGAGTGAAATAAGTCAGACAGAGAAAGACAAATGCCAGGTTATTTTACATACATATACGGAATCTAGAAGACAGAACAAACAGACAAGCAGAAGAGAGACAGACTCAGATACAGAGAACATTTTGATGGTTGCCAGATGGGAGGGGCATTAGCGGGAAGGGTGAAAAAGGTGATGGAAATAAGAAGTACAAATTTGTAGTTGTAGAAGAGCCACAAGGATATAAAGTACAGCTTAGGGAACACACTCAATAATATTTTAATAACTATGCATGGTGTCAGGTGGGTAATAGATTTGTCAAGGTGATCACTTCATAAGTTATATAAATGTCTAATCACTGGGTTGTACACCTGAAACTAATATACTATTGAATGTACATCAACTGTAATTGAAAAATTAAAAAATTATTTAAAAAATTAAAAGAAATGTTAAAGAGACATAAAATGGAATATTATACAGCCTTAAAAAGGAAATTCTGACACATGCTACAACATAGATGAACCTTGAGGAAATTATACAAAGTAAAGTAAGCCAGTCACAAAAAAGACAAATACTTTTATGATTCCACTTATCTGAAGTATCTAAAGTAGTCAAAACCATAGAAACAGAAAATTGAATGGTATTTACCAGGGGCTGAGGAGAGAATGACAGTTGTTTTTGAACAGACATAGAAGTTTAAATTTGTAAGATGAAAAAGTTCTGGAGATGTGTTTCACAACAATGTGACTATACTTAACACTACTGAAATGAACACTTAAAAATGGTTAAGATAGTAAATTTTATGTTCTGAGTTTACGACAATTTTTTTTTTAAAGGAAGCTCTATAACATTGGCAGAAAAACAGCCCTTTTCCCTGTTCTCCCCACAGCTGCTTTGCCCCACTCCTATGCAGGATTTGACTCTACCTTGGCAAGAAAAGACACAGGGAAAAGCTAAGCTTTTGTGGTGGAGAAAAACCTTTCTATCTCATGGGAAAACATTCACATACTTTTGTTAATTTCACACAGTATAATCTAGTTTTCATTCCCTCTTTCCCATCCACTGGGTGGTTTTATTTTGTTTTAAGACAAGAAGAATTGCCAAGAAGAAAAACCCTAGGGCTTACTTCTGCAGGATGGATCCCTTAATGACCAGCTCTTCATCCAAGTCCGCTTCATTAACCATAAAGAGCAGCCTCTTTCCTGTGCTGTCCACTCCAATGAAGTCACGCTGCTCCACTGAATCATACAAAAGAAGGAAAATCAAACAAAGACATTTGCCCTGCTCATATGACTAAGTCAGGGGGAACAGGATACCTGTTCACATTTCTCTCGGAACCAAATACAAGATTGAGTGTTACGTAGCACATACGCATTACAACATTTAAAAGACAGGCAATCGAAAAAAATTTTTATTGCTCTAAAGGATATTATTAGGTTAACTGTGAATTTTGAATAAGTTCTGTATATTAAAGTACTGTGTCAATGTAATATCCTATTTTAAGAGACTGCCCATTTTTAACAGGGGGGTTGGAGGATGAGAGGAAAGGATATATATTTGATTTTTCTTTTTATATATATTTTATTATGCTATTACAGTTCTCCCATTTTTCTCCCCTTTATGCCCTCTACCCTGCACCCCCCTCCCACCAGCATTCCCCTCCTCCTTGTGGGTCACACATGTAAGTTTTTAGCTTCTCCATTTCTTATACTATTCTTAACCTCCCCCTGTCTATTTTGTATCAACTATTTATACTTCTTATTCCCTGTACCTTTTCCCCCATTCTCCCTCCTCCCTCTCCCCTTTGATCTCTATTTCTGTGATTTTGTTCCTGTTCAAGTTGTTTGCTTAGTTGTTGTTGTTTCTTTTAGGTTCAGTTGTTGATAGCTGTGAGTTTGTTGTCATTTTCCTGTTCATAGTTTTTTATCTTCATTTTTTTCTTAGATAAATCCCGTTAACATTTCATATAAGAGCCTGGTGATGATGAACTCCTTTAACTTTGTCTTATCTGGGAAGCACTTTATCTGCCCTTCCATTCTAAATGATAGCTTTGCTGGATAGAGTAATCTTGAATGTAGGTCCTTGTCTTTCATGACTTTGAATATTTCTTGCCTGCCCCTTCTTGCCTGCAAGGTAACTGTCTCCTTTTCTCTTGCTGCTTTTAATATCATATCCTAATCTTTAAACTTGGGTAATCTAATTATGATGTGCCTTGGTGTGTGCTTCCTTGGGTCCAACTTCTTTGGGACTCTGAGCTTCCTGGAGCTCCTGGAAGTCTATTTCCTTCGCCAGACTGGGGAAGTTCTCCTTCATTATTTTCTCAAATAAGTTTTCAATTTCTTCCTCTTCCTCATCTCCTTCTGGCACTCCTATGATTCGAATGTTGGAATATTTAAAGTTGTCCCTGAGGTTCCTAAGCCCCTCCTCATTTCTTTGAATTCTTGTTTCTTCATTCTGTTCTCGTTGAATGTTTATCTCTCTCTTCTGCTCCCAATCGTTTGTTTGAGTCCCTTCCCTTTATTGTTGGTTCCATGTACATTTTTATTTCACTTTGCATAGTCTTCACCTTTTCCTCCATTTTGCAACCATACTCAACCAATTCTGTGAGCATCCTGATTACCAGTGTTTTGAACTGTACACCTGATATATAGTTATCTGTTCATTGCTTAGTTCTATTTTTGAAGCTTTGATCTGTTCTTTCATTTGTTTCAGCATCCCTGTTATGTTGGAAGGGGCGGAGCCTTACTTATTCACCAGGGCAGGGCAACCTAGGTCACTGTGCTGTGGCGCTCTGTGTTGGGGAGAGGTCCGAGAGGGAACAATGCCCCTTGCTTGGCTCTCGCTCGCTTTCAGTCACTTCCCCCGTTACCCACAAGTGGGCCTAGAAGGGTGCTGACTCCCAGCTAGGTGGGTTTGTGTACAGGTTGTAGGACTCTGTGGGTCCCTTCAATGGACTGTCTGTGAGGTTGGGGAGTTCTTCCTGCTCCTGCAACCCCCACAGGTGTTTACAGCTAGAAGTTTTGAGGCTTTCTTTTCCCACACTGGAACCCTGGGTTGTGTGGTCTGTATCGCTCCCCAGCTGTTGCTCCCGGTTTATCTGCATGTGAATATGGGACTGCCTGGACCGCCAGCCCCCGCCTTGCACGCCTTGCACGCCTGGCCCACCAGCCATCTCCTTGCTGTGTGACCTCTCCACCCCAACTGCCCATCTCCGTCCCTCCTACCGGTCTGGATGAATGTTTCTTCTTTAGTTCTTTGGTTATTGGACTTCCATACAGTTTGATTTTCTGACAATTCTTGTTATTTTTTGTTTTTAAATTTGTTGTTGTCCTTCTTTTGGTTGTGCAAGGAGGCAAATTATATCTACCTATGCCTCCATCTTGGCCCAAAGTCCTAGGTTTGTGTTTTTCAAGGCAAAGGGAATGATGCCTACATCTTATTCTCAAATAGCTTTGAAAAATAATAATTATGTATAAAATATGTATGTGTATGATATATATTGAGTATATATTATAAGAGAGAGAATGATAAAACAAGTATTAACATTTGGGGAATCTGGGTGAAAGATATTTAAGTTCTTTATTCTATTCCTGTAACCATTTTATAAATTTTAAATTATTTAAAAAATAAAAAGTTAAGGAGGTGATGGATACATTAATTAGTCTGACTGTGGTACTCACTTCACAATGTCTACATATACCAAAATATCACCTTGTACATCTTAAATATATGTAATTTTTATTTATAAAACATAAAAAGTTAAAAAAAAGAGGGGGAGTCAAGATATTGCTTAACCAAATAAGTAGATGTATCACAGGCCCAATGTATGACACAGAAAGTACAGCTCTGACTGGTGTGGCTCAGTGGGTTGGGTGCCGTCCTGCGAACCAAAAGGTTACGGGTTTGATTCCATGTTAGGGCACACGCCTGGTTTGAGGGCCAGGCCCCACACTGGGGGCATGAGAGATGCAACCAGTAGATGTTTCTCTTGCACATTGATGCTTCTCTCCTCTTTCTCCCTCCCTTCCTCTCTCTCTAAAATTAAATAAAATCTTTTGTTTTATTAAAAAAAAGACAGATAAGAAAGTAAAAGAAACTCTTTCTTTGCAAATAATCACCTAGTTCTGCTCACTGTGAAAATGGGAATAACATTATTTAAGGACATCTACATTCAACCAACATTAACTATATGTCTGCTATGCACGAAATTTTATGCTGTTTATAGGAACATTCAAAGAAAATAAGGTACATATTTACGAAATCTACAGTTATCTCATAGATGGGGATTTTATAAGCTGCTCTATTATTGCTCTTTTCTGTGTTATATTTCTTCAGCCCAACCATATTATAAGCTCTTCAAGGCAACCGTTTTTGTCCACTTAACAAAATATGCTAATATTTGTATAGTATCTATCTATAGCTAACGAAAGCATTTTCACATAGAGGCAGCATAGCATGCATAATTAAGAAGAGAGCCTTTGAAGCCAGACCACTTGGGTATGAATACCATTTACTAGATGTATCTCTGTAAGCAAGACACCAAATCTTTCTGTTCCTCAGTTTCATCTGTAAAATGGGGATAATCATAGGCTTGTTATAAGGACTAAATAAATTAATAATGCTCTTACTTGATTCTCACAAAAATCAAAAAAAGCAATGATTTAATACCTCTTGGAAAAGGGAAAGTGAAAGTTGCACTTGAGGAAAAATATTATCTCTTAAGGATGAATGTCTCCTATTGACAGTCAATGACTTCCATGTAATTGAATGTGGCTTCCCTGTCAGCTTCAGGCCTCTTATACCTAGAACCAAATGTATTACTGAAGTGTATAACGTGTTTAGCTCAGGGGCTAAAGCATTCATTTCTTTGGATGGTTTCTGGTCATCATATTATACACAGTGTCTGAATCTGAATAGGGAGAAACTATCATAAAAAGTTATGTTATTTTTTTTCAATATATAAGATTGGTAAACTCCAAATAAGGAAGGGTAAATATGCCAATTTGAAGGTAAGTTTTACAGAGATTTTCAAAGCTAAAAAGGGCAGAGAATTTCAAACGCCATACAGCAGCTTTGACATATATCAAGTCATTCATCCATTACATGGAAACTTGAGAACATCAAGTCTGCAAAGGTCTGATTATGAGCCAATATTTTAAAAAGAAACAGAGATGTTATTTTTGGATATGATTAGTAGTGCTTACCCTGTCCAAGTCCTCAGGCCCACAAAAACCTTGAATTACTGAATGTCCTGGGAGCAACAATTTTCAACAAGTCAATTTTTTAGTTACGGTGCACTTCAGTCACATTCCCCTCACTCTCAGGTCCTACTTCTTGTATTTGCTTCTTTGTAGCTACCATAGTAACTGGTACCTCAGAATATGATACACATTATAGGGACTTGGAAAGGTTTCTGTTTTCCTTTAACAAAGAGAATTCCACTTTGAGAGAAGAGCAAATAACATTATAATGTTCATCCTATAAAGAAAGACCACACAAATACTGTTAAGAAAGCAGTTAAAACTATGAAGTTCTATTTTTTTTAAATTCTGTCATATTCAACTATTAATACTTTTTTCTACTTCTTTCACCCTTCTGTTTCCTTAATAGTCATTTACCTATACATTCATTCATTCAACTAATAAATATATTTGTGCATCTCCCCTGTGACAGGCATTATGTTTGGAGTGGGAATTCCATCTCATTTTGAGACCAGCATGATCCTCATGCCCAAACTAGAAAAACATAGTATGAGAAAGGAAAATGACAGGCATTTTCACGTTATTATATGAATATAAGGATTCCAAACAAACTATGAGCAAATCAAAACTATTAGTGTATGTAGCAGATTTAAAAGGATAACAAATTTGTTGCAGCTCTTCCCTTCAGGTAAGTTCTAGAATGTAAAATGGTATACCCACCATGGAAAATAGTATGGTGGTGTCTCAAAAAATTAAAAATAAAATTAACCATATGATTTAGCAACACCACTTTTGGGTACGCTGAATGAAAGCATACCCAAAAGAAATGAAAGCAGGGTTTTGAAGAGGTATTTGTATACCCATGCTCATAGCAGAATTATTCACAATAGCCAAAATGTGGAGGCAACCCAAGTGTACATCGATGCACTAATGGATTAGCAAAGTGTAGTACACACAAACAATACTATTCAGCCTTAAAAAGGAAGGACATTCTGCAATACGCTACAACACGAATGAACTTTGAGGACATCATACTA